TTTGACTAAAGACAACGTCCAGAAGTCTTCCGTACAGGGTTCAGTTCCAATATTATCACCGATATCTGTGACTTCATGAACAGTTGGTTGTGGTTTATCGTTTTAGAGAATACTTTGACTAAAGACAACGTCCAGAAGTCTTCCATACAGGGGTAAGTTGCAATATTATGACCGATATCTGTCACATCATGAAGTGTCAGGCACAGTTGCATTAGAGCACATTTCGACTATGGAAAATGCCCAAAGGCATTCTACGCAGTATTTGGTTCCTATCTTATGAGCAAGATTTGTTGTATCAAAAAGAACAAGGTGTGCTTTGTTGCATTAGAGGACATTTCTAAGACACACATCAGCCGAAAGCCTGCTACTCTGGCCTCAGTTGTAGTCTTATGACCAATATCTGTTGTATAAATAAGAACCAGGTGTGCTTTGTTGCATTAGGAGATATTTCTAACACACACATCAGCTGAAAGCCTGCTACTCTGGCCTCAATTGTAGTCTTATGACGTCAATCTGTCTGATCATGAAGTTTCAGGCGTGATTATTAAGTTGAGTGCTACAAAGTATGAAGTGTATATGTACTGAAGGTGCCAGCATATTCACGATATTGTTAATAAATTTGGTAGTGCAGGTATAGAAACTCGGTGGTTTGTAAACCTGATTAGTAAGGCAGCTGCCGCCTCATTCACCGAAGAGAGAGGGGGGGAGGGGCTCAATTTCAACTCCGTATATTAACATAATAGTTGGGGGCGCTAAGTCAGCCCCTCCATGGACATAATAGGAAGGGGGCACTGCGACAAACTTTTGCCCCCCCCCCCTCAAGGAGAATCTTGATAGACGTACACTATCCCCCCACGCCCTTAAGGAGCCTATGATAGACGTACAGTATCCTAGACGCGAATGTTCATTCCCGGGAGCGGCGCAGCACCGATGTTGATTTCTGGTGCATACCGCTGTAGTTACTTTGGGCATTGAGATGTCAATTACTTCTAAAATAGTGTAAACTGTGGTGGGTGAACCACTATAAATTTTGTAACGTGTTTCATATCCTCTAAAATACACAAACCAGCTCTGGTTGAGAACGTGCCGTTCTGTGCTGAACTTGGGCAGTTCTAAGCCAAAAGATCAAGCAACATTGTGCACCGGCCTTGACGTTGACGCATCGGCGTCAACACGGTTGACGCGTGCCAGTGGTTGCGCGCCCTTTTCCTCCACAGGTGCGACTAGGCGCTTTTGACGCGTAGGCGCGTGCATACGCGTGCCAGTGGTTGGCACTTTATTCACGTGCATCCGTACGCGTGAGTACGTATCATGCGTATTTGCGCGCGAGAAACGCGGGGCACGTTTCGACCTGCTTTTCAATTCTGCGCGTGACCTTTCAAATTGTTGCTACGCGTTCATTCCTTCGCCTTTGCGGGAAAGCTGTGACTTATTCTGTTAGGTAGCAGGGAATTTTTCTTTATTTTGTGATTGAGGTTGTTCGTTTTGAAGCAATACGTGCTCCTGCAAAAGCTATACTTTGAAAGACGTTCACTACGACAAGTACCAAAGCAGAGCGGGCAGTACAAATGAAAAAAGAAAACAAAAAACAGTGCAAACTTCTCTCGAAGATTATTTTGCAAAGGAGAATGAATGTACGCTTTTCTTAAAGACAGGTCGCGAAAATACAAACTGCAATAGCTGGTTCACACCAGCGACTAACAGTGGTCACACGACGATTCGCGACTGGTCGCAAACAGTCACCAACAGTCGCAAACGCTCGCAAAGCGACTGCTTTGGCTAATCACTTCTTGCTTAATCTTCAGTCGGGCGACTGCAGTCGCAAAACTACTGGAATCAATCAGCGATGCCTAGAAGTGACACCAGTATTTCGTTATACGCAGGCTAATTACTTGTTTTTTTTTTTTTTCATTGCGCTGGCCTCCTGTTGCCATTTACAAACAAGTGCGTTTCTCTGGGTTTGTGGCACCGTGGCCACCACGGAGTACTTGGCTTGGAGATGGCGGGGCGCAGCACTCGAGCAAAGTATCGAATTTACGTGGTGGAATTCGCAAGAAGCTAAAAATCATGAAAATAAAGATAAAATGAATTGTGCATCACCTTAACCCGTATTAAGAATAGTTTTTGTTTTAAACTTCGCTTGCCACCACCTTCAATGCAGCGCGTCTAGAACGCGTTTGTGCTTCATGCTTTGGCATTGACACCACGTTCGAGACGCGTTTGTGCTGCATTGGAAACTGGGGCAAGCCATCCATCCATCCATCCATCCGTCCATCCATCCGTCCATCCATCCGTCCGTCCATCTATCCATCCGTCCATCCGTCCATCCGTGCATCCGTCCATCTGTCCATCCGTCCATCCGTCTATCTATCTATCTATCTATCTATCTATCTATCTATCTATCTATCTATCTATCTATCTATCTATCTATCTATCTATCTATCTATCTATCTATCTATCTATCTTTCTATCTATCTATCTATCTATCTATCTATCTATCTATCTATCTATCTATCTATCCGCCTACGACTTTTAGCTCTCCCGGCCGTTTCGCTAATGGTATCGGTACCAAACTTGGTGTGGCATAACATGACTGTAAGAGGAACATATTTGACTAGTCGTAACATTGAAAATCATTACATGTATATCATGAATGTCATGATTTACATTTTATGGTCCTGGAGATCCTGCGGTGGTTTCCATTGCATGACATGTTGCAAAACTGCTATGGTATGACATGATGGTATGGCAAACACATGCGACAGACCCTAAAATGAAAATATTGACATGCGTCTCATGTAACAACATGACAACATGCCACACTCATGATGCGCTCGCGGCCGTTTCGCTAGCGTCACATATTCCAAATTCGGTATTACGGGACGTGAATGAATGACGAAGGTATGATACTGCTGAAACAAAAAACATGATAAACATGAGAGGCGTGTCATGTAACAACATGACTACATGCTACACTCATGATGCGCTCGCCGCCGTTTCGCTAGCTTCACATGTACCAAACTCGGTATTGCGCGACGCGAACGGACGACATAGACAAATGGCACATCCAAACATGATAATCACAGAATGCGTGTCATGTAACAGCATGACTACATGCCACACCCATGATGCGCTGTCGGCCATTTCGCTAGGTTCAGATATGCCAAATTTGGTAACATGTGACGTCAATTGATGACGAAGGTATGTGAGAGGTGCAAACATGATATTCATGAGATGCTTGTCATATAACGACATGACTACTCGTCACAGTCAAGGCGCCAATACATTTCGACGTGACGCGGTGCACGTGATCGCCGGCGTTCATTTCGTCGCATTACACTGGTGTTGCCACGCCAGGCCGCCGGACCTGCCATATACTCGCAGGGGCGCAGCGCGCCGCGTTGCTTTGACATATGCGCGTTTGAGCCCGTCTGGCGTCCTTCCGTCACGAAAACAGAGACGCACTGTTGTCAGGGTAACGCATCGACGCGAAATGCAGCATGTCGCATTTCATGCCGGTTGCCGTCGGGCAGCGGCGACGGACGCTGGTCGCACTGGCCGCGCCTGGCTTCAGTTATAGAGAGCTCGCGTTTTGCTAGCGTAGCGTCGCTGTGCCCAGCGTGTGCGCGTGTCAACGCTACATTGGAGTATATTAGCTCCTTTATGATGCTCTCGCGGTCATTTCGCCAGTTCCACACATACCAAATTTGGTGTTACGTGACGTCGATAGATGACGAAGTATAGGACTGGTGCAAACATGATAATCTGGACACGCTTGTCTTGTAAGAACATGGCAACATACCATGCTCATAGCGTGCTCACGGCCGTTTAGCTAGCTCCACATATACTAAATTTGGTATCGCGTGACGTGAATAGATGACGAAGGTAAATAACACATCAAAAGGTAATAATCATGATATGAAAGTCATGTACGGCGTCATTTCCTTCCACCTTGTAACGTTGTGCTCATTTTAAAGTGACATTTTAACCTTTCTCATCCACGTTTCGCATATAATCGATTCCCACACTGCTACTTCGACTACGAGAGACGAATGGGTGCCGCTATAAGGATTTTCGCCCCTAAAAAGTCACAGCTTTGCCGCAAAGGCGAAGCAATAAACGCGATAGCAACAAAATGGAAGCTCACGTGCAAAATCGCAAGCAGATGGAAAGGTGCCCCGCGTTTTTCACGCTCAAATCACGCACAAAACGTACTCACAGGTACAGATGAACGGGAATAAGCGCCTCAGTTTTTACTTCGCAGTGTCTGAAAAGCGCGCCTGTTTCGCAAACGGAGGCTATGAAACGATTGCAGTGACCTTTGTTTGCTCATAACTACAACAGAATGATTTCAGTGCAAGTCCAACGCCGGAGAAGACGTATCATCTTTCCCACCGGGAGATAAGGGCGCGCGGGAGAACATCGCTTTCCTCTTCTCCGTGGGCCAAAGTACGCGTGAGAGATGAGAGCCACCGCGCGCCTATCGTGCCATCTTGCTGGTAATGCTAAAAACACGATAGCCCCCCCCCCCCCCCCTCTCCGAGATGTCCGCCAACAGCGCTAAGTGGTATATATAAATAGCACGCTGTTTAAACTTTCAAGGAGGTGCCGTTCGGTGTCATATATATATATATATATATATATATATATATATATATATATATATATATATATATATATATATATATATATATATATATATATATATATATATATATATATATATATATATATATATATATATATATATATATATATATATATATATATATATATATATATATATATAATCGAACAGACAGTAATGCCAAGGAATGTACAGGGGAAGTTACTAGAACCAATGGAATGTAAATAAGAAGAAAGAAAAGTGGGTGAAAAACAACCAGCCATGAGCAGGAATCGAACCTACGACATTCGAATAACGCGTTCGATGCGTGCGAGCAGCATCGAACGCGGTCCTTATTTACTGTAATTATTCTGTGCATCTTTTTTCATTGCAGGTTTGCCAGCACAATCTTGGCGTATGGCCAGACGGGTGCCGGCAAGACATACACGCTAACAGGATCGCCGGTATGTCTCCGCTATCACACATTTCTCGCGGGTGTTATCTCAGCTTCGTTTGAACCTCTTTCACGAATCACTGTAAGGCATCCTTCCCAGAAATATTCTCACTTTATTAAAACGTCGTTCGCGAAAGTGAACCTGATTCTATGCAGCAGTTGAGTGTCTTTGCGAGGTTTCAAGAAATTATACTGCACACAGCCACCTTACTTATCTACAGACCCAAAATAACAACCGAGACATATGACTGAATCCTAAATCACAGCGAAGACCTTCTCGAATGATCTTGACAATTTAATCAATTTTAGCCAATAAAGCAAGTTCCAAGAATCATTTGCAGACTGCTTTACAATCACTGCGTCATCTGCTTGGTTTACTACATGTCTGTAAAGATTCAAATCGCTAATATTGTAGCGGCGCAGCCAAGCATTTTTTCAACTTTTCACTTTCATTACACGCAGCATTTCTGCATGACAAGTCGCACTGGTGACCGATCTTATAATGGATATGTCCAGACAACGTCACTGACCTTTTGGTGGACAGCGAACGTCACGTTCTTTTGTTACGATGCGCTCTTTGTTGAACTGCGCGACAGTGTTTTCCTCGAGTTTTTTTTTTTTTTTTGGGACACCAAGAATTCTCCTATCTGCGTTTTGCACTGCAAATCTAGCGATTAGAGATTGTAGCTCGATAGCATCGTTGGCTTAATGAACCATTGGAAGCGGTGTCCACGTGGTGAGTGGCGCTCTTCGTGTGACCAAAGGTTGGCCGGGTGCAATGGAAATATGAGCGGGAATCGTGCAGAAGAGCGAGAAGTTTGCTGCGATATGATGACGGTAGGTCGTCGGCAATCGAAGGGCGAAGCTTATCCAGGGATGAAGATGTCGTAACAAATGACGTCATGACGTTATGTTGAAGGTAGGGTTCGTCCTCGGCGATGTCTAGGGATCTCAAGAGGTCAACACCTTTCATACGCCCCAGAGATTCCCCTCTGAGCACGTCACGTTAGGCGTGAGCGAGTTGGCAACGTGAATTATCGTCGCGCCAGATTTAAGCAAGAGTACTGCAAAGGGCAGTCGAAACCTTCGGTGACGGAGGAAAACTTTTGACAGAGCAAAGAGTGCGGCTCCGTCCGGCGTGGTTGTGCACGTTAGAGTGACAAGGGTCCACGTGGGGGGAAGAGGGATATCTGTGTCTTCCACAACGACAACTTTCTGAGCAAGAGGAGCCTCTGAAGGAGAGGTCTGCAAAAGCGTGAGAGCGACTTTTGAACGAAAGCAGCCAACGATAGCACTATGGTTTGAGAGGAAGCCCCACCCGAGAATAATGTCGAGGGAATAGAATGGTAGCACGAAAAACTCGATCACATAGAGGGCGTCTTGAATGGTAATCCGCGCTGTGCACACAGCTGACGGCGCAACGCACTGGGAGCTGGCAGTACACATCATTAGTCCTGACAGCGACGTTGTCAGTTTCTTTAGCTTGCGGTACAACGTCTCAGAGATGACGGAAACGGCGGCTCCTCAGTCAATAGGCGCTTCGGCCGTGTTTGTCGACATTGACGTCAATAAAATTTCTCGGTGAAAGACATGGAGGTCTTGGGCAGTCAGACTTGCCTGGAGCTCTTGCCTCCGCAGCTGCAGAAATCAGTTTCCCTCTTTGTAGCGGAGCGGCGACGCATGGGGGACACAGAGCATCGTCGACGAGATGGGTACCGGTCTCTAGAGAAGAAGGTGTGGTTATCCGAAATGGGAGTTGGTAGTGTGTTTGGCGATGAGGGATCGGACATGGTCATTGAGAAAAAGAAAAAAACGCCAAACCTGCGCGGTATAGGAGCCGCACAGTCACAGCGAAAGCTAAAAGAGCGGCTTTTCAGAATATATTTTTGACAAATATGACAAATATTTTCAAAGTCTATTGAAAACATTCATTGGGTAACTACTGCAAGCACACTTGCTTGGTACCCACTAGGGCATTAATAATAAACTTTTGGGTAGTAGGCCAGCATTCGCTATGCTATTTTTCGTCATTCTTCTGAGAAGCGTGGTATGCGCTAAACAGTTGCTAGGAATTTTGCTAGGAAACACTTGCTAGGAAACACTTGCTAGGTCGTTGGCGTATTGTTTGAGTCGTTCCGGTAGGTTTTTTGTCTCGCCGATATACAAAGGACACTCGGCACACGGGATTTTGTAAACGACACGGGAGGGGTGGGGGGGTCCTGTTCATTGTTGGCCGGTCTTTCGGGCGGGGGACGAGGTGGCCCCGCGTAGACGAGTTATGCGAACGCCTTCTTTTTTGTTGAAGATCCGCGCCAACATCCCGCTGGTTCTCTGAACGTATAAAACCGGTACGAGTTTCGGAGGGCGGTGGTGATCGGTGTTCTCATATCCTCTGTTGCTCTGCGCGGCGGATGGCGGCTCAAATAAAGTTTCTTAAGTATTCGTTTTTTCTGAGATCCGCAATTACGAGGGTGTCTCCTTTCTTTCGCTCCGTTTCATTGGAGCATGTGTTCTCAGCTCTCTTTTGGTTGGAGTTCAAATCATTTCTCATGAAGGTTTTCGATCTAAACCAAGAGTCACACGGCCTCCAATATGCACGCCATGTGCTCGCCATCTCGAAGGCCATAAAGAGTCTCACAATGCCTCACAGGCAGCACAATATCTAGCGTTTGCTGTTGGCTTGATCAACAGCTCAGGAAAGACATGATATGTTTTCTGCTAGATGGACATAGTTGCCATTTTCAGAGCTGTTTGAAAGTTCCTGTGTATTTTTAGCGGGGGTGGCTTCACTGCCCCGGCATCTTTCGACGTAGTTTGATGGCCTCCTAAATGTGCCTACAAATTGGCGAATGGGCTCGTTTTCTTCGTGACACCTGTCGAACAAGATGCGTTAAGGAGACTCCTTCTACTACATGATATTTATATAGTGTTTTTCCCGAAGCAGCTGCAAGTAACTTCGTGGCTTTGTGGTAAAACACTTGCTTGCCACGCGAACGGCCCGCGTTAGATCCTTGATAGAACTGAGAATTTTATTCCTGATTTTATTTGCTTCTTTCTCGATTTTTCGCTCACCAACGATTTTTCGCTCACAACTAGTGGTGCCAATGCCGACGGCAAAAGTCCTGTGGCACGAGCTCTCTAACGCTGTTGCGTTAAAAAAAAAAAAAAAACTGGCCCCGTATCAGCATGTTAATCAGAAAATGTCGTCGAAAGACGATAGTCTTGCGTGTGGACAGAGTGAACAAAACATTTATTTGATGTTCTGCGCAAGAAAATTGGTGAATGGTATTCTGGAGGCACTGCGTTAGAGTGCCTCGAGCGTGCAGCGGAGGCGAACGAGCGCATCAAGTCCCGTCACACGTGAGACACGAGCGCCATCTGGCAGTTTTCTTGGAAAACGAAGCGCGTGGCTCTGAGACGGGTACGTGCGCCCGTCTCAGAGCTTTCGACGGCTAGGTGCCACTACCGCGATTCACAATTCAGCGGCTAGATGCCACTACCGCCTCTTCTAAGCAAAGAGTTGGAAACACTCGCCTTTTCGTGCAAGTGTTGCATGATCAGCTCAGCGTGATAAGCGCTACGGTCCTTAAAATTATTTCTCTATGCCTTTTCTAGTAAAAGACGCGCATGCAGAATATATACGTGTTGATATGGTGCCCAGACACGCGCAATAATTGACTTTTAAATGACAATTGCACAAGCATGAACGCTGAATCTTGAGCAACATTGGTGGGCGCTGCAGATGGGGTCGGCCGTTTCAAGTACCCGCTGCCATTAAGAGTGTACAAACATACAAATGTACAGACAGACAGGCAGGCAGACAGACAGACAGACAGACAGACAGACAGACAGACAGGCAGGCAGGCACACAGACAGACAGACAGACAGACAGACAGACAGACAGACAGACAGACAGACAGACAGACAGACAGACAGACAGACAGACAGACAGACAGACAGACAGACAGACAGACAGAGAGATCAAAATTTTTGCGTCGAACGTCCCTAAGAAAGACTATCGTTTTAAAAAGTTAAGTGACGAGCGGCGCGGCCAGCTACCCCAGGAGTGAAGCAGATGGGCCTGTTGTCCGGCGTTGCCAACACGTTTGGACGGCAGAATAACGGAGGCGAAAGCCTGCGTAGGGAAGCGAAGCTGCAGAATTCATGGTCAGTGGTGAGGCGGGGGTCGGCATTACCGGGCGGGCATAGGGTGGAGGCTGCTGAGGTGTCCGAGAGGCGACGGCAGCGTCAGTAGGCGGCGCAGAGACGGGCTCAGAGATGGGGGCATAGAGTGGAGGTTGCTGAGGGGGCCGAGAGGCGATGGCAGCGTAAGTAAGTGGCACAGAGACGTGTGGTTGCTGGGACATAGGAGGTAGTGCCTCCGCGATTTGGTTGCAAACGGCGTGTTGAATGTCAGGAGCCGGGGTCTATGCCGGCGCGTTCGTCAGAGGAAGCAATAGCTGACGCGCTACTCTCTCACGAATGAAGTCCTTGATGGTGAACAGCAGTGGCTGCTGGTCGGCATGGCGAGCAGTAAGCTGCCAGCTGGATATTGCGTTGGGCATCGTGAGGGCTTGGTACGGGATTGAGCGCTGTCGACGCAACTCGGCGAAATTTTCACACAGGGACATCAGTGCTGCGACGGTGCTGGGGTTCCTTGCGAGCAACGTCTGAAAACTCCCGTCTTCAATGCCTTTGAGGATGTGCTTAATTTTCCCCTCTTCGGTAATGGTGGAGCTCACATGGTTACAGAAGTTTAGCACATTTTCACTGTAGCCTGTGAAGTTTTCACCGGGGAGCTGCACCCGTTGACGCAAACGCTGCTCTGCCCGAAGTTTGCAAGCCGATGGCCGACCGAAGACGCCCGTTATGGAAGTCTTGAAGACCGCCCAAATAGGAAGGTCGCTCTCGAGGTTGTTGTACCACAATTAAGCGATGTCCGTGAGATAAAAGTGCACGTACCCAAGCCTAACTTCGTCATCCCGCTAGTTACTGGCACTGGTATGTTCGTACTTTAATAACCACTCATTCACATTCGAGTCACCGGAGCCGGTAAAGATGGGCACTCTCGCAGGCGATACATGGCGCCGCAGGTGACGTGGACGACTGAGGGTCAAGGCTGCAGAGGGGTCTCGTTGTCCATAGTGGTAATGGGGTCACAAAGCGGGTAGAGCTTTCGGGAGTGAAAGTGCGGGTTGGTACAGAGAATCCACGTACTTCCACCAAATGTTATTGACGCTGGACGTCAGGTAAGCTTGAAAAACGATAACCGCAAAGCGTCGAGGAGCGGCGGGCGTCAAGCAGCCGAAATACGGGCAAGCGCGAGCTCGAGTCTCGTGCTGCTACTGACGCTGGAGCTAGCTGATGCTGATGCTGATGACCTCATATGAATGCCGCTCACCCACAGAGGGGGATGGGCCAAGAACCAGGTTGCAGGATACTTAAATTAAACTAAACAAATTAAAGCCAATCTGAAAAATTAGTTTAGAGATAATACTACCAATCTAGCTTGCTTGCTCGTGTCCACCGTCGTCGTCTTTCGTTCACAACAATGCCTGTGCTGTCAAGGCCGACAATGGTCGGCCGCCTATCTTTGCGATGATAAACTCCGCAAACCCTTCCGTAGCAATTCTCACACATTACTGAAATGTTGTCTATCGCAGGAGACGCCGGAAGGTGGGACCAGCGAACCAGGCATAATGCAGCTGACTTTCGGCTACCTTTTCGAGGAGATCACGCAGCGCAAAGGAGTCGAGTACATTGTGCAGGCCTCGTACTTGGAGATATACAAAGAGCACGTAAGCCGCATTTAGTTTATGTTTGCATGAATGTTCAGCTTCGCACACACCGAAGAGCATTTTCGGCTAGGAGATAAATGAGCTGTGTTCAGATTGAAAGAAATTTTCGTGTTTCAATGTAAAAAGAAAAATCATGGTGTCCGCACAAGGGTGAAGAAGTGAGTAGTATATCAATAAATCTGAATATTGTACTAATTGCAGGTAGCAGTGCACTCTTTCAGCATCTCAGCTAACGTAGTGCTTAAGAACACTTGTTTTATACGTGTTGAACATGTGCAAGCGATGACGACTAGCACTATTATTAATTTTATTACAACTGTGATCAAGTCTTATTGTAATATTGTGTTAATCATCATTATAGCATTAGAGCTATTCAATAATCCAGCCATGTAATTTTCATGCGATCACTCTTGCTTATACATGATGAATTTCATGGCCAATCCCCCATAGTGGGTGTGAGCCATACATAGAAGCTTTCGTCATCATCATCTTCTTTATCATCAAAGAAGAAGTCAGCGCGGGCTTTCATAGAGCCGGTGCTCTGTCCTTTTCTGTACATTTTGGTGCCGCGACATCCGGGAGGAAAGGCGTTCAGACGTGAGATCAGGAAACGCAATAAACTCTTGTCTGCATCTATCGCCCTGAGGACCTATGTGAAGCCGCCGTTGGGGTAAACTACTGTGCGAAGCCTAACCCTACCCGGGACTTATATCGCGGATATCTCGACGATGCCCGCCTTTCGTTGTGTGTGAAACTTGTACGACAGATACCATGTTGACGCTGACGTTACCTCGCGACGCTGGCGGCCAAATAATTTCCACATTTTTGTCACTGGAACAGGTCATGGCGGGACTATTTGAAAGGCGGGGTCAAGTACGTAAGACCGTCATGGAAGCTATCTCGAACATTCCACGTCTTGTGTATATGGATCGCCCACTAAGAAGTGACTTGGAGAATTTTCACCGAGTCTTGACTAATCACTATAAGCAATTTAATCAATATAATTAATATAATCAATCTGCGAATGAAAACAGAAGCAGAAAGAAAAGAACTCTTAGTCTGCGTCACCACTATTTAGCATTACGTAGCGAATAGGAATATTGTGGAGGAATTCCTCCAGCGCGCCCTTACAACATGATTTCAGTCACAGTCGAGGTAGTGGACATTGATGCTTTGGTGGACACTGAGGCTACGTTTTCTATTATTTGTGCTGATTTCTTTACCCATCTTCAAAAAGTCAAGATGCCTTATGATGGACCAACACTGGTTGCAGCGCAGAGAACAACGACGCGCCCTTCCGCTCTCTGCACTGCCCGTGTGCTAATCAACGGCATTCTTCACCATATAGAATTTGCTGTGCTATCCCCGTGCTCCCACCAACTCATTTCAGACTGGTACTTCCTTGTGCTTCCGGGGCGATTTGTTGTGAAAACGTGTCGCCCATCTTACTGACACAGATCACTTGCTCAGCGACGAAGCCTATACAGGCCTCTTCGATTCATCGCTGCTGTAGGGATCGAGCTACCACTGCACGAACAGCAATTAGTATGAGTTTTGTCCAACGACGTCGACTCTGGTGACATTTTGGTCACCCCGTCACCTTGTTTTCTTAAAAAAGGCATAGCTCTCGTATCTGGTGTGGCTTGCTTCAACAATGGATCAGCTGTCATCGCTGCTACAAACACCACACCCGATAAAATTTCACTGCCGCGGGGCGCTACTGTCGCCTGCGTTGCCGATTGAAAGCCTGTGTGCGTCGTGCCTTTTACGCCTGTCTCCTCTAAAGGTAGATTCACACGAGGGAACGGAGGAGGAATTTTCGAAGCGGACGGCGCATCACATGACGTTCGCGTCATCCAAACGTGCCGTCCTCGCTTCATCCGCTCTCTTTTGCTCACGGCACGGATGGAAATGTGTCCCCGCTATTTCGATATCTCCATTTGACGGTCGTCGGCTCTCGATATAGAGGATTCAGCGTCAAATTTGTCAACATTGGTTGAATTGGCGTGGCTAGGAAGCAGGCTGCCGGCTTAAAATCCAGATGTTTTAGTCTTGCAGCAGCACCGAATTTGTTTCGTGTGACAGTAAAAGAAGCGAGGGTTTTTGGTGGTTTTGGTGGTGGAATGGTGGTTTTCATTCACAGCGAGTGGCGTGAATGACCGTATAAGCGCTCTGCATGAGCGCAGGAGTCGAAAGTATGCGTGAGGATTCCGCGAGCGTAGCTCCAGCTGTGTGCATACGATGTCTACGCTGCTGCGCCGGTTGAAACTAATCACGTCACTATTCGATCCGCGGAGCAGCGGGATTTCACCCTCTCGTGTGAATCCAGCTTAAAAGCCAATACCCTGATGCTGCTGCTTCCTCGCCTTCTACAGCAGCCATCAGCAGAGACTTGACAGACTCACAGAAGCAGTAGCTGCTTGATTTGTTGAAAAAACATGCACACTCTTTTGACGCATATTCATTCACCTTGGGCCAGAATACCACTGCAGCACAAAGTAATCATACCATCGGAACGCTGCTGCGCCGGTTGAAACTAATCACGTCACTATTCGATCCGCGGAGCAGCGGGATTTCACCCTCTCGTGTGAATCCAGCTTAAAAGCCAATACCCTGATGCTGCTGCTTCCTCGCCTTCTACAGCAGCCATCAGCAGAGACTTGACAGACTCACAGAAGCAGTAGCTGCTTGATTTGTTGAAAAAACATGCACACTCTTTTGACGCATATTCATTCACCTTGGGCCAGAATACCACTGCAGCACAAAGTAATCATACCATCGGAACGCTGCTGCGCCGGTTGAAACTAATCACGTCACTATTCGATCCGCGGAGCAGCGGGATTTCACCCTCTCGTGTGAATCCAGCTTAAAAGCCAATACCCTGATGCTGCTGCTTCCTCGCCTTCTACAGCAGCCATCAGCAGAGACTTGACAGACTCACAGAAGCAGTAGCTGCTTGATTTGTTGAAAAAACATGCACACTCTTTTGACGCATATTCATTCACCTTGGGCCAGAATACCACTGCAGCACAAAGTAATCATACCATCGGAATATCTATTGTGCACCACCATCTGCACCGCGTGTCTCTAGCCGAACGAAAAATTATTGATGAAAACGCAGGCGATATGCTGCAAAGGGAGATAATCCAACCCTCCAACAGTCCTTGGTCGTCTTCCATCGCTCTGGTGCGTGAGAAAGATGGTTCAGTACGATTTTTCGTCGATTACCGGGCACTCAATAAAATATCGAGAAAGGACGCATACCCCATGCCTCGCATCGACGACGCCCTCAATTCCTTACAAGAAGCTAAATTCTTCTCGAGCCTCGACTTGCGTTTTCGCTATTGGCAAATTTTCATGCACTAAGATGATAAAGCAAAAAACTGCGTTTGCAACCTCGGACGGCCTATACGAATTCAATGTTATACCTCCCGGCCTATGCAATACGACAGCGACTCATGAGCGCATGATTGACACCGTGCTGCCTGGCCTGAAAGGGAAGACTTGGCTATGTTACCTCGATGACATTGTTGTCTTTTCATCGTTTTCTCAACAGGTCGTGACTTGTCTTGTGGGCGCTGGTCTTCAAATTAACACTAAGAAGTGCCACTTCGCTAGCAGATCTATCAAGGTTCTCGGTCATGTCGTGAGCAAGGACGGAATTCGTCCTGATCCTGATAAAACTGCTGCGCTGCTTCACTTCCCTCGCTCTGACAAACCGAAAGCTTTGGGAAGTTTTCTTGGTATCGCCTCTTACTTGCGGCGATTCATAGAAAAATATTGCTTCAATAGCCACACCACTACACAAGCTACTTTTTCTGGTACGCCTTTTGAGTGGTCTCAGGAACGTCAACTGGCTTTCGACATGTCCAAGAGTGCCCTAACGACCAACCCTGTATCCCGTTTTCACGATGACGCACCAACCTTTCTGCACTCAGGCGCTAGCAGCAACGGTTTAGGAGCCGTGCTCCGGCAACGCGACAACTCTTTGCGAGAGCGAGTCGTTGCATACGCCAGCCGCGTTCTCTACACAGCAGAGAAGAACTACACGATCACCGAATAGGATTGCCTCGCCATCATATGGTCAGTGCATAACTTTTGTCCCTATCTGCACGGCCGCCATTTCACCATTGAAACCAACCACCACAATTTATGCTTACTTTCGACCCTCAAGAGCTTATCGGAACGCCTCTGCCGTTGGATTATACGCCTCCAAGAGTATGATTTCGACATCATATACAAGTGTGGCAGAAAGTTTGATGACGCCGCTGATCTTTCTCGCTGCCCACAACCAACGGCCCCACTCAGCGTTTCCGCAATCACATTACACAAGACACCCTCGAAGTTGGTTTTATAAGCCAGGCATTACCATTAGTAGCTCGGTACGTTGGGTCCTGTACTACCTGCCAATGTAAAAAACTACCAACATCCGCTCCCGCCGGTGCACTGCAGTCTCTTTCGTGCCCAGCCATACTATTTGTAGGCGTCGATATTGTAGGTCGATATTTATAGCCCCCTTCCAGTCAGTGCTGCTTGAAACCTGTGGATAGTAACAGCCATTGACCATTTGACGGGCTACGCCGAGACGGCATCCGTCACTGCTGGTTCAGCTTCTGAAATTGCCGATTTCATCCTCCGAGCCATTATACTGCGCCATGGTGTTCCACGTGTACTGCTCAGTGACCGTGGAAAAACCTTCCTTTCACAACTAGTGAGAGAAAACAGCGCTTGTAGTTATCATCCCCAGACTAACGGCCTCACAGAGTGATTCCACCGCACTCTTGCTGACGTTATGGCCCCTATATTCAATCAGACCTCAACAACTGGGACGTAGTTCTACCATTCGTCACTTTCGCCTACAATACGGCCATTCAGCGGACAACCGGCTACTAACCAATTTATTTAGTTCACGGACGCTTCTCTACTTCCTTTTTGGACGTTTATTTGTTTACCTGCCACGCGAAGTCATCTACATCTGTTAGCGACACTCACCCAGTGTC